CAGCGTCCAAGAGAAAGGCAAAGGACAAGAAGCCGCAGCCTGGTGGCGGTGGCGGTGGCGGGAAACAGCGCAAGGTTGACTTGGAGCTGGATCTGCTCAACATGAAGAGACAGCTGATGTTGACAGTCCGAGGGGTTGTGGAAAAGGTGGAGGAGTGGCAGGAGCATGTCTTAGAACAGCTTGAGAGCACCTCTGGAAAAGAGATGCAAGAACTGTTCGAGATTCGGACTCTCATCTATCAAAGGTTCATGGCTTTGCAGAAGTTTGTTCCTTCAAAGTTCTCCTCGGGGCACCCGAATCATGAGATCGCACACCGATGGCAGAAGGCTACTGCAGAGTTCCAAGACTTTGGTAAAGCCCCATCCAGTCCGAACACAGAAAAGATTGTGGCTGCGGCTTTTCAATGGACCAATCAGGATCCCGGCGATCCTCAGCCTCGGCCTCAGCCAGAGTCGATTGAGAAAGACTTAGCCAAAAAGTTTGCCGAGAAATTCAAAGCTGCTGTCACAAGTGTGGCTTCTGCTTCAACAAGCTTGACAGCAGCTGTTGAGGAACTCCAAGACTTTGCAGAAGCCAAAGCCAAACAGAAGCAAACGGCTCCCCTTGAGGCAGGAGAAGCCGCAGAGGAGATAGCAGCAGCCGGTGCCGAAGGTGACTCTCTGCCGGACAAGGACGCTGAGGACGAGGACGATGATGATGAAGACAAAGATCGTAACGATGGAGATGAGAGAGACAAGGAAACGGAGCAGGAGGAGCGGCCCGTCACAGATCGTGATCGGAAAGGCGCTGACGACAATCACTCAGACTCAGACCGTGACGAAGTTGAAGACTCCAAGGAAGGTCAGGGTCGGAATGAGGACAGGACCAGGACCAGGAATCATAGTACTTTGATGGAATCAATCCTTGGTTCATTCGATGGTGCAACTGAAGGCGGCTCCATTCTTCAGGAATTCCCGTCCTTCAATGCAAAGAATGAGAACACCGCTTTCGTTGGTGGCTGGGGAGATGAGTTGATCATCAACTCTGAGATTGAGAATGACAAATTTCTTGTCGATCTCTTGAACGAGTATTCAGTCCCGTGTGAGGAAAGACGAACCAAAACATATCCAAACTTTACAAAGGCAGGGTCGGGGCGGGGCTCAGGACTCGGGACAAGTAGATTGAAGATTCATCAAAAAGGTTGTGAATCAATCTGGGTCACTTTACTCAATTTTGCGCTGCACTTGGCGGCATGACTGACTGACTTCCGTGCTGGCAGGTCTTTCTGTGGGAAGATGCACGCCACCCAGAGTTTTCTTTGGAAGAGACTTACTTTGGATCGGACTTCCTTCGCCAAAACGTTTGCAATGGAGAAGATCTGGAAAGGCACCATATCAGCGCTACTTCAAGCTTAAACTCGGAATCCACCACAATGATAACTTTAACATGAAGAAACATGTATATATAGTATTATATAATATATAGTATGTGTGTCAGTCTCTGTGAGATGAGCTGTCACTGTCAATGTTTAGATCGGGACCGGAACTTTACTGACCAAATCAACCAAGGCATTTTTCTCTCCGGGCAATGTATTGCCAGCCGGGTTGGGAGTCCTTCGGTGTGTCCAAACTTCTCACTGGTGTGGTCTACATCCAAAAGCATGGCAGGAAGGTTGTCGCCGGCTTGCCATTCAAGTCTGCATGGGACACTTGCAAAGATGGTACTTGCAGCTGGCAAGCACTGCGGAACAACTTGTTGGGTCTGACTTGCCAAGATCTTTGTGAGATGGGCGGATTCTTTTGCATTCTTGAGCCAGGGACCTTCTGCGTCTCCCCCCCCAGGAATGGTGTTGATTGAATTTGTGCCAGCGCAGCCTCACGCAGTGAGCCTGACGCTCTCATACGAGTTCTTGGGGCACTATCACTGCCAAGACAAATTCACATACTGCATGACCAATGTCTTAAAGCAAGCCCTCTCTATTTGCACAGAGCCAAACCACGCGGACCTGGAACACCATTTGAACGTGAGGCACTCAGTCAGGATCATTTCCACGAGTGAATGCTTGGAATTTGAAGCGCTGAATATGCATGATTCAAGAGTCAAGATTATGCAAGCATTTGCAAGGAAGTAGACTTAGACTTAGTCAGTCGAATGTTCTTCAGTCATCTTGATTAAGTTGGTGTGGCGGGTGGCAAATCAGTTAGGAGGCAAGTAGCTAGTAGCTACTAGCTACTGCTACTACTGAGTAGACTGAGTCACTGAGTTTTGCACCAGAATTTGAAGGGGAAGGGAATTGATGATGGAGTGTGTACTGTGTTACGACCGTTCAATAAAGTTCAGCTGAGATTGGCCTTCAACTGTGGGAGAATCTGACAACCTTTGTCTTTGGCAACCACCCAGTGGTCAAAGAGGAAGATGAGAGCAGGGCCGACGATGATGATGATGAGTCGCCACTTGAAGCTTTGATCAAACGGTCAGTATCCTATGCAATGGAAGCAAAGCGGCCACGGACATTGGCGGCAGGAGCAGCTAGCCTTGAATCAAAATCAAAAATCAAACCTATCTAAGTCTAAGACTAAGACTAAGACCAAGACTAAGACATACTTACTACTATGATCTTAGTCTTGGCCTTGGCAAGCTTTTAGTTGTTAGTTGTTAATTGTTTGAATTCAACAATTGTTTCCTGGTTAGTCAGTTCACTGGTTCCGAGGCGGCTCCGCAGCAGGTTCCAAAGAGGAAGCGTTCAAGAAAGGACCCCCAGGTGGTGAAGAAGGACCAGGAGGAGCCTGATGCCGCTGTGGCTGCTGCGGCGCCTTCAGATTCGACTGAACCAGAATTGGGAGGAGGACCCCCAGCTCAGTCTGAGCATCCGGTCAATGCAGCATCCACAACAGCAACTCCGACTCCAACTCGCACTCCGACTCCGACTGTGACTGCGACCCCAGAGGCAGATCCAAACGCCACTGTGAAGCCTGGTGAGCAACCACATGGTCCCACCCAGGCCTTGCAAGACCCAGACCAAGCCGGTGCCGGTGAGACAAAAACAGCGGTGGCGGCGGTGGAGGATCAGAATCATCATGATGGCACTACAGATGTATCATTGGCATTGGCATCAGCATTGATACCAGCCCCGGCAGCGGCATCAGCATTGGCAGCATCAGCCCCAGCAGAAGGTCAGGGGGCCAACGCCAAAGCCAACGGCCAAGCGGCGGCCGCCAAGGCTTCCCCGAAGTCGAAGGCATCGCCGAAATCCAAGGCGAAAGCTTTGCCAAAGCCCAGGGCGAAAGCCAAACCTTCGCCAAAACCCAAGGCGACAGCCAAACCTTCGCCAAAACCCAAGGCGAAAGTGAAAGCTTCGCCAAAACCCAAGGCGAAAGCGAAAGCCAAAGCTTCGCCAGCGCCAAAACCCAAGGCCAAAGTGAAAGCTTCGCCAAAACCCAAGGCTAAGGTGAAAGCTTCACCAAAACCCCAGGCCCGGGCGGCGGCGGCGAAGACGAAGCCTATGACTCCTAGTGGAATGAAGCATTTGAAGGATGCTTTCAAACGAGGCGATGCTGCTACCACCACTGCCCACTGCCTACTACTACTGCTGCCACCACTTTTTGATTTCCTAGCTTTTAGCCCTATAGCCGCAGACTAGCTACTATAGCCTAGCAACTGGCCATAACTAATGGCCAGTGGCCAGTCAATAGTTTGTGCGTTTGAGCCCACCCTTTTTCTGAAGTTTCAAGTTCAATCACTTCTTAGTTTTTATGACATGAAATCTGAAATCCCGTCCAAACACCAATCTATTGAACGGTAGATTCCAACTTCAAACCCTGTTAGGCGTATGCAGCTAGACATTTTGCACCCTTCCTTCTTCGACAGTGATATTTAGCGAGGCCAGGCATTGGCGTCAGGACAGGACACCGGAAAAAGTTAGTTAGAAGTTAGAAGCGACAAAACAACAACTGCTGCTAGTACTTAAGTACATGATTTTGGAGGAACTTGGACTTTGGAATGCAATGCTTTCTTGCTGGGGAAGGAGGGTGAGTCAGCCAGTCTCAACAAATTTGCCAACAGCTAAAACTACAGTAATTGCCGAATTCTCAGTGTTTGAGTCTGGAATTTGACATTGCATGAATTGTTTTCGTATTTTCCGCTGGTCAGGCTTCAATCTTCTGGTGGCTTCTGAATCAGTGAGGGGATTCTATTGTGCTGCCTGATTGGCCATGGAAAGGAAAGTCTCGTCTTTCACAGTTCAGTGACAGTGCACAAAGAAGTCAGCCAGGCAGCCAACCCAAGACTTATGCATAACACTGCAGCTATGTACATAGTACATAATACACAGAACATAGTAAGTACATGGAACGTTGTTGTTTGTAGTATGTATAGAGTCTGTACTATAAGATTAAAGTTTGGTTTACCTACCTGTTTACCTTTTTCAAGTTGCTGACTTTGTTTGTTTGGCTGTCGGCTGTTTCTTCGCATTCTGCATTGTGCATCAGCCAAACTTTACGCAACAAAGACCGACCGCATACAGAGAAAAATGAAACACTGCGATTGGCATTGGCATTGCAGGACATTCACTTGAAATGTCTTTCGGCCGTCGCAGTTACGTCGAATCGGGCGTTCTTCCAGTTTTTTTCTTTTGAATGGCAAGTGGCCACGTTTGAGGCCGAAAACTTCCGTATCCCCTATACCAAGATTTCCCCGTAATCCACCCCCCTCCGCGAGAATCAGTAGTGTTGAGGTGTCAAGAAAACTGCTCAAGTGTAATGATTCTGCGTCACAGCCAGGTATCATGAGGAATCTTTGGGCGTGAACGCTCATACCACTGTGGGCTTAAAGGTGAAACAAAGGGGTGAAGCCCGATCGGCCTCCCCACCTTAAGTTTCCCCTCAAATCCTTAGTGCGAGCGCTATCCTGCGTCCTAGCTAGTAGCGTCCCACTTAATAGCTACTATAGCTACCTCCTATCCTCTATCCGCGGCCTACCAAAGGGTTGCAAAAGATGTGGTCACATCCAGTCTGCACGTCCAGGCCTAGCGCCAACATTGCGTGGCGGTGTTGCTGGTGCTGCCTTTGCCCTACAGGAGAAATGCCAACGTGGCCTTGGCACTTTGGCGGCATTGTCATATGACCCCTGCCTTAAGTAATTAGTCCAGGGGGGCATGTCACATAGTGGAATATTTTTTGCAGAATAATTTGACCGTAGAATAGTTATTTAAATATTCCTGAAGGGGGATGAAGGGGGTCTCTTTATGTTGAGACTCAAATGGAATAATTTCATGACAACTAACCCTGGAATAATTTACATGATCGAAGCATGTCGAGCCGGTCTTGGATGTGTTCGACGATTTGAGACTAGATGCTGATAGAGAAGTACAGGTTCCTGGAATGGAGACTGCAGAGACCAGCAAAGTGTCTAAAATTTGGAGATTGAATGATTTCAGTGAAGAATCGATGTCGTTGGGGCCACGGGGAGACTAACCGGGCCAAGGTCCTTGTGGCCACGAGCACCGGGGAGGGACCAGGGGCGCACTAAGGAAGCTCCTCGAAGGAATTCGATCGTTAAGGGAGTAGACAGGGGGGAGGAGAAAAAGCGTACAAAAAGTAGCTTGTTAATTTTTAACTTGTTGATTGTTTTCTGGTCATATTCGTTCATGTCCTGTCTTTCCTTAATTTTGGTTTTTGGAAAACTGTGAAAGTTCCATATTTTTGATACTTTACTGGTCCAATTCCTTCATTCCCTGTCTTTCCTTGATGTTTCCAGAGTTTTGACAGTTTTCCAAATTGTTTTTAAATAATTGTCCACTAGATTGCATGCGCCACCCCCCCTGAATTATTTAAGATATGTTTAAATATTTGTTGCTGGGGATGCCATCCCAAACCCTTCCCTTCCATGTCGAGCCGGTCTTGGATGTGTTCTTCGAGCATGGAAGCATAGTTTATTGACCGTGTTTACACATTTTTACATATCCTTTCAACAGATTCCTGTGTCTAGGGTCGGAAGTGCTGAGCCTAATGACAGAAAATATTCCTGCATCAGGTGCACATCCTGAATAAATAACATGTATGTATGTCCAAGGGTAGTGGAATAATTAGTAAATATTCCTGGGTATGTGGACATAGGGGGGTCTAAGGTAGGAGTCATATTGTCATGGCGAAAAGTCAACTTGGTAACGCCCCATAGATTCTGATTTGGTTTTCTTGATGTTTCGTGTGACGAGCTGTTGAAGGCTGTTTGGTTGAACAAATGTGTAGTATATTAATGTATATTATATAAGCAAATTGGTGCATGTTCGATGTCATGTTTCCATGCATGTTGTTGGTCAATATTGTCCCTTGCACCCAAAAAGTGCACCGAGCCGAATCTCCCGTTCTGTAGCTCCTTGAGCTTGCGGATTGGTTGACTGCAAAATTGCAAAATATGTTTTGTTCTATATAGTTATATATTAATGTTATCATATGTTACCTATTATTGCCCCCACGCAATGCTACTTACACTATATAATCATCACATCGCATAATAACTCCTGGCAACTGAGCCTGAGTGAGTTTGTTTGCAGGTGAGCTTCGAGCTGTTCTCCGAGTCTTTCTGAAGAAAGGCTACGCTCTTGTCACTGCACACCTTGGCAAAGCAGCTTCTTACGCGCCCACATGTTTACACTGACAAGACTCCTGTGTCGTTTTGCATCAACCGTACCTGCCAATGCGAATGCATCGTGTTGGGGCACACCTAAGCGAAGGCTTTTGAAGGGAGGGTTGTGTGCACCTACTGAGTAAAAATACATTTATAATTCTAGAATATAGACCTTTTAGAACTTAGAACCGAAATTATGCCAAGAAGGTGGCATTCAACTCTGAAAGGCTTGCTGCGCTATGATGGTGACGAGCTGCTGCCATCGGAGGTCTTGGAGAAAGAACTTCAGCAGATCCAGGCCAGCTTGCCACATGTTGCAGGGATGCTGGATACTTATTGAATCATTGAAGATTGATGCATTTGCAGGCCAGTCCTCGAACGCCAAAGCGAAGGAATGCACGAATTTATTCTCAAATTTGAGCGAAGGGAAGCGCGGCCAACTTGCAGATTTGGCAGGGCATCAAGAAAGTTTGACACATTTGACATGGTCAAGTTGCACAAGTTCACAAAAAGAGGGTCTGCCAGTCGGTCTCACAGAATATGCACGGTTGCTGCACGGTCTGCTTTCGAAGCAGCGTTGTTCTGCATGACATCTCAAGAGACACCGACTGCACATCCTACAATCCAGTTGAAACTTGAATCTGAGTCTGAAGTTCAAACGCGAAAACTAGAATGAATCAAGTGAACCGTCAACGAGTCAACGCCCACTATGATGTCCTGAACTTGTTGACTTTAGCTTGGGTATGTGTCACCCTCGGGTGCCAGAGTCGGAAAGTGCTGCTGGGCATGTGATAATTTCTTTGCGGTGCATCACCGTGTCACCTCCCAGTGCAGTTTCTCGTTCGGGGTACGTACTTCACAGGACCTGAAACGAGGCAACTAAGCCACGCTTGCCAGATAAAAAGTTTAGCTCGGTGTGGATTCAGTCAATCCTACTCTAATGGTAGTACCATGTAGTATCTTGCATGCGCTGAGAAGGTGCCCTTCTGACCAGGAAAGAGGAATAGGGAAGCACAGAGGACCCCTACCTACAAGCGGTTTTTAACAGATGAATTAAAGGTCAACTCAGAATTAGCATCCCTTTTCATCGAGCCCCATCGAAGGTGCCAAAGGGGACACTGAGATGGGCAAGGCCAGTCCAGTCCAGGATAATCCAGGCATTCCGGTCCTACTAATGTTGCAGCGCAGATGCTCTTTTGGGTGGAGGGCATGTGACTATGCATCCATGACTCCATGACCGTCCATGGACTCATATGTACTCGTATCATGCGACTAACGGTTGACCTCCCTGAGGTCCCAAATTGCCCACAAAGTGGTTTGCCCTATCACTGATCTTGCAGGCGTGAGTGAAGTCGGTCTGAGTTTCGAATATTTGCATGAAAAGACTTCAAGAACTTCAAGCTGCTACGTCCGTGAGTTTGCATTGAACAAACACCATATTGGTATTATAGTTTATAATTGTTTGATATTGTTTGTCTACAGAATTGTCAATGACTCTTGAAAGACCTCATTGTAGTCAGCAAGACTGACGGAAATATATTTCCACATGTATGGTGTTTTTATGTGACAGCTTCAGTATAAGAGGGTATTCGTGGGCCGGCATGCTGTGAATTGCAGACAGCACTAGACTTAAGCCCGTTGAATGAGAAGTGGGAAATTAGGCTATGTAACTAACTGGATTCGCATTATCATGCCGCCGAGCACTTTTGCTGCAGTCCAGCGGCCTGCTAGCACAGCTTCTCTTCGGATGGACGGTGCTTGCAGGAGCAGACTGTGGACATTGAAGAGTTAGATCACGCGGGGCTGTGCTGGAATCCTTCTTGCTAGATCAACCAGCTCTCCTTTCTTTTTGGTATTATTTGATTGTTTGTGATAACTTCTCAACAATGGTTTAGAGTTTAGAATGGTTTGGATTCGGATGTGTCTTATTACTTTCTTTGGTCAGCTGGTAGAGTTGGCTGCAAACACTGAATTGTGTCAGGTTGCATCCTTTTCTTCTTCTATGGAGGATGCGTGCTGGCTCTTCATTTGTCAGACCCTTAAAGGCCAAGAAACAGGTATGCATACCAAGGTGCAGTTCCTATTGATCCAATTGATTTCTAGTGTGTGTGTGTGTGTAACCCTTGGAATCACAGGGATCCTTTCGGATTGTTTTGCTTTGGTTTTTGCTTTGGATTTTACAGCAGGGGGACCATCCATGTGCTGTGAGCGATGGTCCAACGAAGCGGCCACAGCACATGCGGATATCTGGCCTGATCAGCCAGACGTACCTGCAGTTTTACCTGAGCCATTTCATCTTGGGCCCTGCTTTTAACTAGAACAAGCACTCCCGCCTTTGCAACGGTTCTTCATCCGCAGACTCTGCACGTTCCGTCGTCCTTGTCGCTCGATCGTCTCGCAGTTACAATATTGAACCTTGGAGCTTTTGGAAGATTCTGAGACCTTGGACTTGTGGAGATTTGAACCGCTTCTTTTTACCCACCCTGTTTTCCTTAGGTTTTGTACTTAGGCTGGCGTGTGGCACCGCTTTCAGTTCCGTATGCATATCCATAAGTGTGCTTGGCCTCGTGCCAACCCGGGATGAGCCCGCAGAGTGCCTCCCGTGGACCCGTTGAACGGGGGTTTGTCGCTGTTTCCCTTGCTTTGGAAACGCAGATGTCCGCAGCGGACAGTAGATGGCTTATGCCTCAAGAAGTGGGATGTTTGTCTCATCTTTGGAATTCCAAGTTGGCTCATGCCTTTACGTGACCGCAGCGGTCCAAGCTGGCTTAACGCCTCAACGTGGTCAGAGCGACCGAAGCACTTTTGAGGTTCATTGGAACCTGTCGGACTCTTAGGTGCACATACATCGTTCACACACCTCAACGAGGCAGGTCTTCCTAGGTTGTTGCAATGAGGTCTGGGCTCATCGGTTCCCGTCCCCTCCATTTGGTTCCCTTTTCATCCTTTCCCCTTCACACACTTCTTTTCCTCTTTCTTTTCATGTCTTCCCTTGCTTCATGTCCTTTCATCTCACTCCTTTCGTTCTTTTGCGCGTACAACGGTCCGGGCCTTAGTGTGTACGCGCACATCTACTTCCAACTCAGGTTTCAGGTCGCCCAGGTTTCGACAATGAGGTTTCATCGGTTGTCCCTGTGCATTTGGTTTCTCTTTCATCGCAACCACACACACTTTTGTCCCGTCGTCTTCCTTCTCATGTCTTCATCCTTTTGTCCTTGCTGCGCGCACATTTGCACATTCGTCCTAGCCTTAATTTTGCCTCCCCTCGGGGAGGCGTGTGTGTGTGTGTGTGTGTAAATTTTGGAATCACAGGGATCCTTTCGGATTGTTTTGCTTTGGTTTTTGCTTTGGATTTTACAGCAGGGGGACCATCCATGTGCTGTGAGCGATGGTCCAACGAAGCGGCCACAGCACATGCGGATATCTGGCCTGATCAGCCAGACGTACTTGCAGTTTTACCTGAGCCATTTCATCTTGGGCCCTGCTTTTAACTAGAACAAGCACTCCCGCCTTTGCAACGGTTCTTCATCCGCAGACTCTGCACGTTCCGTCATCCGTGTCGCTCGATCGTCTCGCGGTTACAATATGGAACCTTGGAGCTTTTGGAAGATTCTGAGACCTTGGACTTGTGGAGATTTGAACCGCTTCTTTTTACCCACCCTGTTTTCCTTAGGTTTTTTACTTAGGCTGGCGTGTGGCACCGCTTTCAGTTCCGTATGCATATCCATAAGTGTGTGTTTGTGTGTGTGGGTTGGAATGAATCGCTGGTGCATTAGGTTCTATTACAGTGGAACTGTCATGGTGGAGTCCTCAGAGTGACTTTGCAGATTTCTCCAGCTTCCACATGTACGAGCATTTGCGTTCAACTTCAATCCTGGCCGCAAGACTCCGGGCATGGGTTTTTCCGAGCCCACAGACACACCTGCAAAGTTGCGAGTAAAGACACAATGCCTTCGCTTTCAGCAACGCAGCGATGCACTTTCTTGTTGTGTTGTTTCCAGCCCTCCAGCTGGCGTCCAAGCGGGCCTTGACCAGCCCGATAATCCTAATATCAATGCACAAATATGTGAACAGTTCGTGCTGGCAACGAACAACCTCCTGCACAAAGGTTGCGAAAGGGCTCTAACTCTAAATACCTGCGGAGTCCAATCAGGAGAATAGCTCGACTACATTGCCGACATTAGCTATGGCTGTGCTTGTCCTGTTCTTTGCTACTTGGCTGCACGACCTGAGTTTGCCAAACAATGAAACCTGATAGTCGCACACGGTGTGCACGCTTTTGGAGTCAACTTGCAACAGGTGAAATTGTTGTTTGTCCAGAGTTCCAAGCAGGCAGTGTTCATAGATCCAAATAAGAATCATCAACACTAACATGAATTGAAGGTGGATCAGCAGCAGGTTCACCTCTATACTAATACCCTCGCATGTAATTAAGAGCCTTCTCGGATGTCCAATTGGTTGCAGAAGAGTGCGGCAACTTTTTGGTTGCGTGTGTTGAGATTCCTAAACCTGTGCACTCAAGCTTGTCAGGTTCAAGTTGCCAACTTGCAAATGCACCAATCGTTGTGCGTGCCTTCTTGATGTAAGGTGCTAAGCGGGAGTGGCACAACCTACGGCTACATGGATTTGGGCAAGTGTGGTTCCTGAAAGTTTGTTTCAACCACACTGTTCACTTGGCATCTTGCATGTGCTCACATTATTCACGTGTATATGGTATGAGATGAGAGACTTTTGTGTGAGGATGCCTGATAAGCTGATAGTTGCTTTGTTTTACATGTACCATTATCTTCCAATGTTTGCAATCCAGTTAAGTTCTTCCAAACTGCGCTTTGGGCTGTTTCCTTGCGGCCGCCATTTTCTCACCGAGATGGGGTGGCCTCTTTTGGGTGCTCTTGTCTGGCATTGCAGGTGGGTTTGGGGCTGGTTGGCAAGTGTTCGTGCAAGCTACCTGGTGCAGGCATGTTAAGATATGATATATATATATATTTATAACTTTATAACGTTTTCTTGCCTGTCCGGAAACCAACTAATTACACATTTCACGGACTGTGACTGCACCTGCAAACAGCCAGCGTGTGGCAAGAGGATTCTTGGCAATGTCAAGACTCCCGAGACCCACTCCTCAAGTAGCTCTGAAGTGAACCCCTCCAAGTAGGAATGCCCAATGCCCTGGCAAGAAAGTTATCAGCGATAGTTTCAGATCCACTGGAAGGTTCCTGTGTTTCTGGCTTGCCCTGTTCTAAATGTCATAGGTGTATGGTTATGTATGAGAACCTCAGCAGAAAATGATCTATATTCTGAGGGTATGTGTGTGTGTGTGTGTTAAGTGTTACGCACAATGATTCCTGATCAATTAGATTTCTTGGGCTCCCATTCGCGTCAGCTCAATGCAGTATCCACCACACTTAGAGGAAGCCATG